AGATAGATAGATAGATAGATAGATAGATAGATAGATAGATAGATAGATAGATAGACAGATAGATCGATAGAGCAATAGATAGATAAATAGATAGATACATAGATACATAGATACATAGATATAGATAGATACATATATATAGATAGATACATAGATAGATATATACATAGATACATAGATAGGTAGATACATAGATACATAGATAGATAGATTAGATAGATAGATAGATACATAGATACATAGATACATTTTTGGGTATTTTTCTTTCAACCAAGTGGTCACCAACTGAGCGCTTTATTTCCCGGGCAACGCCGGGTGTCCTGCTAGTAACCACTATGTACGCTATCAGAACATGTTATGTCTTTCATTGACACTAATTCAAAACACTATTTTTTAACCAAAGTTTGTAAATTCTGATAACATGATTTGAACTAAAATGTATTGTTCCGACCAGGTCTCGAACCTGGGACCTTCTGCGTGTTAGGCAGATGTGATAACCACTACACTATCGGAACATGTTTTGCTTTTCATTGACTTTAATTCAAAACACTATTTTTTAACCAAAGTTTGTAAATTCTGATAACATGATTTGAACTAAAATGCATTGTTCCGACCAGGTCTCGAACCTGGGACCTTCTGCGTGTTAGGCAGATGTGATAACCACTACACAGGGTTCTTCCCCTAGGTTGGAGAATTTNAGAAGTTGCAGTGATGATTAATATACCAGTTTCCCATAGTGTATGTGGTTATCACATCTTCCTTAACACGGCAGCAAGGTCCAGGTTCGCGACTGAAGTTGGAACAATACATTTTAGTTCATATCATGTTATCAGAATTTGCAAACATGTCTTAAAAAAAGAGAGCATGAAAATCGTTACAGTTCCGATAAGTGTAGTGGTTATCAACATCTGGGCCTAAACACGCAGAAGGTCCCAGGTTCGAACTGCGTCGGAACAATTACATTTTCGTTCAACATCAATGGTTAAGAGGGATCGTTTTACCGTATGCTAGGTTCTAGGTTATTTTCAGTAATTTAGGCGTTAAAATTACGGGCTTACTAAAAGAGTTTCATGGTTCAATCACCATTAGAGAATATTAATTAAAAAAAATTGTTTTTAAAAATACGGACTACCAGTTTGATTACAACGACGCGTTGGCGCCACTACAAAGCACTACGATCTGATGAGTTGCCGCAAAACGTCCATTTTCAGCCCAAGGGCTAACAGACCACAGAGGGGTGGTTTCTCTAATTTTAGTTAATATTAAAAGCAAAAAGGATTGTTAATATCTTATAAACAACATACTAGTTTCAGTTATAATTAATGTATAAATTTGCCCTTACTAAAATGATATCGTTTGCTTAAATAGCGCTGTGAGGTATTAAATACAAATGCACACTTTTTGTGATTAGGCCCTCGGTCTGTAACGTGCAAAATAAATGGTCAAATACGTTCAAATTTCGTAGCGTTGATGTGTATTTAATTATAACAATTAAATTGGATATCTGGTACAAATACGTGTGGGTATAGCCACGCACTTTTTATAGCAAGTAACTGAAGTAAGTACAGTTGTATGCAGTAAAATCCTAGAGTCTACTATCCCTTTAACAAAATTCACAAAATTCAAACCAAGTTAAAAAATAGTGTTTTGAACTTAGTATTAATGAAAATCATAACATTGTTCCGATAGTGTAGTGGTTATCACATGCTGGCCTAAACACGGCAGAAGGTCCCAGGTTCGAGACCTGGTCCGAAAATATAATTTTAGTTCAAATCAATTCTGTTATCAGAATTTGCAAACTGTGCTAGAAATAGAGTTCATTATATTCAATTACAGTTGCGCGATTGTGTAGTGGTTATCACATCTTGCCTAACACAGGAAGAAGGTCCCCCAGGTTCGAGACCTGGTCGGCAACAATGCATTTAGTTCAAAACATGCTATGAGAATTTTACAAAAGTGGCATTAAAAAATTGATTTCATGAAAATCATTACGTTCGCGATCGTCCGCCAGTCGTTATCCAGCATCTGCTTAACACGCAGAAGGTCCGGCAGATTCGATACTCTGTCGGAACAACGTCATTTTAGTCAAAATCATGAGTTATCAGAATTTACAACTTTGGTTAACTAACTTGTGTTTTGAATTAGTGTGAAATGAAAAATAGTTTTAACATGTTCCGGATAGTGTAGTGGTTATCACATGTAGCCTAACACTCAAGAAGGTTCCAAGGTTCGCAGACCTGTCGAACAATCCACATTTTAGTTCACATCATGATTTATCAGACATTTGCACACACGTGTCTAGAATAAATATAGTTCATGGATATTAATTAGCAGTTCCCATAGTGTAGTCGGTTATGCACACAGATCTGCCTAACGACAGGCAGAAGGTCCCAGGTTTTCGCGAGCCTGGTCGGCAACAATAGCATTTTTGTGCCGTTCAGGTTAGGGCACGAGAATTTCAAAGTCGGGATAAATAGAGTTTCGTGTGAAGTAGCCGTGTTCCGATTAGTGTAGTGGTTATCACATCTGGCCTAACAGCAAGTCAAGTGGTTCGATACCTGGTCAGAACAATACATTTTAGTTTATATCATGTTATCAGAATTTGCAAACATGTCTTAAAAAAAGAGAGCATGAAAATCATTACCAGTTTCCGATAGTGTAGTGGTATCACATCTGCCTAATCACGCAAGGAAGGTCCAGGTTCGTAGACCGTGGTGGAAAATACATTTTCAGGTTCAAATCCATTGTTAAAGGGTATCGTTTACCGTGCTAGGTTCTAGGTTTTATGTTTCAGTTAGATTAATTTAGGTTAAATATTACGCTAAGCAGACTAAAGAAGTTTCATGTTCAATCACGCATTAGAAATATTAATTAAAAAAATGTTTTTAAAAGCTAACCGACTACAGTTTGAATTACAACGACCGGTGGCGCCACTCAGAGCAACACGATCTGATGACGTTGCGCAAATACCACTTTTCAGCCAAGGGCTACAAGCCGAGGGTGTTTCTTATTTATTATTTAGAAAGCAAAAGGATTGAAATATCTTATAAACGACATATAGTTTCAGTTATAATATGTATATAATTTGCCCTAAATATGAATATCGTTCGGATTAAATACATTGAGGTAAAATACAATTGCAACTGTCGTTTGATCGTGTATTTAATTAAACAAGACTATTTAAATTGGATATCTTGGTAACAAATACGTGTGGGTATGATACGATGTTGTTATACAGTAAGTACAGTAAGAGAGTTGTCACCTGCAGTAAAATCCTAGAGTTCTACTATCGCCTTTAACAAATTCACGATAAACATTCAAACGCACGTTAAAAATATGTGGTTTTGAATTAGTATTAGATGAGAATGCATAACATGTTCCGATAGTGTAGTGGATTATCACATTCTGCCTAACACCCCGCAGAAGGTCCCAGGTTCCGCAGACGCTGGTCGGACCAATATCCATTTTAGTTCAAATCAATTCATGTTATCAGAATTTGCAAACGGTGTCTAGAAAAATAGAGTTCATTATATCAATACAATTCCGATAGTGTGGCGTTATCACATTCTGCCGCATAACAGCAGAAAGGTCCCCGCCAGGTTTTTCGAGACCTGGTCGGAACAATCATGTTAGTTCCAAAAATCATGTTAATCAAAATTTGCAAACGATGTCTTATAAAAAAGAGATGATGAAAATCATTACAGTTCGGCGATAGTGTAGTGGTTATCACATCTGCGCTAACCACGCAGAAGGTCCAGGTTCGCGACTCTGGTCCAGAAATACAATGCATTTTAGTTCAAAACATGCTATAAGAATTTTAACAAAAAGTGGCAATTAAAAATTGATTTCATGAAAATCATGTACAGTTCGCGATAAGTGTAGTGGTTATCAGCATTCTGTCTAACACGCCAGAAAGGTCCAGATTCGAGACGCTGGTCGGAAAAAGTCTATTTTAGTTTCAAATTATGTTATCAGAATTTACAAAACTTTGGTTAAAATTGTGTTTGGAATTAGTGTGCAAGGAGAGAAATAGTATTAACATGTTCCGGATAGTGTATGGTATCACATCTGCCTAACACGCAGAAAGGTCCCAGGTTCGAGACCTGGTCGTAAAACCAAATACATTTAGTTCAAGGATCATATTTTATCAGATTTGCAAACCGTGGTCTAGAAAAATGAGTTCATGAGTATTTTACAGTTCCCATAGTGTAGTGGTTATCAATCTGCCTAACACGCAGAAGGTCCCAGGTTCGCGACCTGGTCGGAACAATACATTTTGTTGCCGTTCAGGTTAGCAGAATTTACAAAGTCGGGATAAAAATAGAGTTTCTGTGAAGTAGCCGTGTTCCGATAGTGTAGTGGTTATCACATCTGCCTAACACGCAGAAGGTCCCAGGTTCGATACCTGGTCAGAAACAATACATTTTAAGTTTATAATCATGTTATGAGAATTTGCATAAACATGCTCTTAAAAAAAGAGAGGCATGAAAATCATCTACAGTTCCGATAGTGTAGTGGCTTATCAACATCTGCTAACACGCAGAAGGTCAAGTCGAGACCCTGGTCGGAACAATACATTTTAGTTCAAATGCATGTCAATCAGAATTTACAAAATTTGGTTAAAAAAGTATAGTGTTTGAATTAGTGTCAATGAAAGACATAACATGTTCTGATAGGTACATAGTGGTTACTAGCAGGACACCCGCGGTTGCCCGGCCGAAATTAAAGCGCGTCAGTTGGTGACCACTTGGTGACAAAGAAAAATACCCAAAATGTATCTATGTATACTATGTATGCCTAATCCTATCTATCTAATCTATCTATCTGATCGTATCCTATGTATTACACTATCTATGTATCTATGTATATATCTAGTCTATGTATCTATCGTATATATTGTATCTATCTATATTCTACTGTATCTATGTATCTATGTATCTATCCATATTTAATCTATTAATTGCTCTATCGATCTAATCTGTCTATACTATATACTATCTATCTATCTATCTCAAAAAACTATCTATTCTATCTATCTATCTATCTAATCTATCTTATCTATCTATCTATCTATCTAATATCTATCTAATATATCTATCTATTATCTATGCTATCTAATCTATCTATCTTATGCTATCCTATCTATTCTCTATCTATCTATCTATCTATCCTATGCTATCTATCTATCTATCTATCTATCTATGCTATCGGCATCGCTCATCCAGCCCCATCCATCTGCCCATACCATCCATCTATCTGTCTAATCCATCTCATCTATCTATCTATCTCTGCTATCTTATCTATCTATCTATCTATCGTATTGATCCAGTCTCTCTATCTATTTGCTATTTATATATCTATCTATTTTATCCTCTCTATCTTCTATCTATCTATCTATTATCTATCGTATCTATCTGAATCTATCTATGCTATCTATCTATCTATGCTGTCTATCTATCTACCTAGCTTAGCTAGTCTAGTCCTACTATCTATCTATCTATCGATCTACTATCTATCTCATCGATCTAATTGAATCGATCTATCTATCTATCTATCTATCTATCTATCTATCTATCTATATATCTATCTATCTAATCTATCTATCTATTAATCTATCGTATCTATCTAATCTATTATCTATCTATCTATCTAGTCCTATCTATCATCTATCTATTCTACTATCTATATCTATGCTATCTATATCAATTTTTTAATGCACTTTTTGTAAATTCTCATAGCATGTTTTGAACTAAAATGCATTGTTCCGACCAGGTCTCGAACCTGGGGACCTTCTTTGTGTTAGGCAGATGTGATAACCGCTACACTATCGGAATTGTAATTGATATAATGAACTCTATTTTTCTAGACAAGTTTGCAAATTCTGATAACATGAATTGATTTGAACTAAAATGTATATTGTTCCGACCAGGTCTCGAACCTGGGGACCTTCTTTGTGTTAGGCAGATGTGATAACCACTACACAATCGGAACTGTAATTGATATAATGAACTCTATTTTTCTAGACAAGTTTGCAAATTCTGATAACATGAATTGATTTGAACTAAAATGTATATTGTTCCGACCAGGTCTCGAACCTGGGACCTTCTGCGTGTTAGGCAGATGTGATAACCACTACACTATGGGAACTGTAATTGATATAATGAACTCTATTTTTCTAGACAAGTTTGCAAATTCTAATAACATGAATTGATTTGAACTAAAATGTATTGTTCTGACCAGGTCGCGAACCTGGGACCTTCTGCGTGTTAGGCAGATGTGATAACCACTACACTAGATCGGAACATGTTATGATTTTCATTAATACTAATTCAAAACACTATTTTTTAACTTGGTTTGAAGTCTGTGAATTTTGTTAACATGATTTGAACTAAAATGTATTATTCCGACCAGGTCTCGAACCTGGGACCTTCTGCGTGTTAGGCAGATGTGATAACCACTACACTATTGGAACATGTTTTGATTAAATTGACCCTATTGAAATCACTATTTTTTAACCCAAGTTTGAGGATTCTGTTACAGTTATCATTCTGAACAGGTCTTGAACTTGAACTTGAACAGTTTCCTAAACTTGTCGGACTTCATATTTATTCTAAATTTATAGATGAAACGATATGTTGATATGATGTGATTAGATAGATTGCAAATAAAATAAATGATATGAATGTCCCAAACCACTGACCATGTTAACCTCTATACTTTTGAACTTACCCTTCATATTAAACTACAGTACAACTTGAAATATGTTTCCACCAGCACGCAGCAAGCTTATTTGACCAGCCAGCTTTGGAAATTTGGGGCCTTGGGCATATTATTAGGCAGACGTGTTAATCAATAACAACTAGGCCTACTAAATTGTTTAATCCAAATGAATCACACCGTTTCACTCGAATTTAGAATTGCCGACACAATGCTTTGCAATAATTATAATAATTTTTCCGACCAGGTCTCAAACATATGGGAACGTCATCAATCGCGGCAATAGCCAATAGTCCAATGCCATGCGATGGTTGTCAGGTTAGTAATAATATATAAATACTATACTATATGTTATATACAGTAGTAACGATGCCTAGTATTAGTAAAATCTACATTAACTGCACCAATTACGCATCATCAGCCAGCAGCGCTTACCGTTGTAGGTAACGACTGATTCGCATCCGTAAGAATATACTCCGAATAGAAACCCCTCTGGCTAATCTCCGGATATGTCTTGTCTTTCTTTCCTGGGGTCGCAGAATCGTTAAACTGAGCGTAAGCCATTTTCAACGGTGCCCACTAGAAGTGTCAATTATGAATTTATACTTGTTCCCAAAGTACTAACGAACGGCACATCGTGTTGTCACTGACTTTGTAATCAAATGTGTTCACTAACTAGCTTATGCTTCCCGCGGCGTCTTTCAGTCGCCGAGGTGACGCACCAGCTCCGGTTACCTGTTAGAACCGCGTTAGATATTCGGCATAAAACGTGGCGGTAGATGGCGCTGAGATTGGCGGCCGGACTATCCACAGAAATAGTTATGTATCATAATTTTATTGATAGGAGTGAATAATTATAATATATCTATTATTATTCACTCCTGATATTGATACATGCTACCAGCTCTAGTATTGAACAAACATAATATGTATATATATATATATATATAATATATATATATATAGTAGAGGATGTACCCGCGGCTCGTGCGTGTGTTACCCGCTGGGCATGGTGCGTAGTACCGCGGTGTTATCTCGTGCGTGCTACGTCGCGTGTTCTGTTGTCGTGTATCTTGTGTGCATCGTGAGTGTACCCGGTGTACTGTGGCGTGCTTATCTCGTGTACGTGCGTGGTAATCTTGCGTGTTACGTGTAACCCGCTTGTGTACGTGCGTTACCCGCTGTACCTGGTGCGGCCTGTCTTAAGTGTAACCCGCGTTGTACGGCGTGTACCGCGTCGCCCTTGTGCCATTCCGAATCCCCGACCTGTACCCGCGATGTATCGTGCGTACGTGTACTCCGCCCTGTACTGTTGCGCCCGCACATGTATCTGCTGACGCGTGATCGTGATGTGTACCCGGCGTGTACGTCTGCGTGATATCTCCCGTGGTGTACGTGCGCTGTATCTGCGTTGTACGTGTACAGTGCTGTGTTACCTGCGTATGCTTACGTGCGTGTACCCGCCGCTGTACGTGCGGCGTTGTACCCGCGCTGTACGTTGGGGGGGGCTGTATTCGTATCCGTGTACCCCGTGGTACCGTGCCGTTGTACCCGCACTGTGCGCCGTGCGTGTAGCCCGCGTGTACGTGCGTTACCGCGTGTACGTGCGTTGTATCTGCGTGATCGTGAGTGTACCGCCGTGTACAGTGCCGTTGTATCTCCTGTACGTTTGCGTGTATTCTGGTCCGTGTACGCTGTACGTGCGTGTTCTGCTGTGCTACGCTGGTGTTCTGCGACCGGGATTGTCGTGGCGGCTCTACCTGCGTGTACGTGCGTGTACCGCTACTGTCTTGTATCCTTCCGTGTACTGCGTGCTACTTGGGCGTGTGATCTCGTGTACGTGTATCCGTGCGTTGTATCTGCGGCTGTACCGGTGTGTCATCTGACGTTACTGTGCGCTGCTACCTGCGTGGTACCCGGCGTGTACGTGCGTAGTATCTCCGTGTACCGCGTAGTACAAGCACTGCGTGTATCTTCGTGTACGTGTAAGCGTGCGTGTATCTGCGTGTACGTGCGTGTATCTCGCTGGCTGTACGCTTCGTGTACCCGCGTGTTACCGTTGCCGTGACCCCGCGTGTACGTGCGATGTACCTGCGTTCGTACCCGTGTACTGCTGCGTTGTATCTCCCGTTGTACCTGCGTGTACGTCGCGTGTATCTGCGTGTACGTGTACGTGCCGGTATCTGCGGAGTCGTGCGTATTGTATCTGCGTGTACTGCCTCGCTCCCGGGCGTACCTGCGTGACCTGCGTGTACCCGCGTGTACGTGAGGTGTTATCTCCGTGTACCTGCGTGTACCGCTGCGGTGTATCTGCGTGTTACGTGTACAGTGCGTGTATCTGCAGTGTACGTGGGGGGCTCCCACCGAGACTGTAATCTGCGTTACGTGCGCGCTACATCTGCGTGTACCGTGGGTGTACCCGCGTGTACGTGCGTGTATCTCCGTGTACTCGCGTGTTACGTTGCGTGGTGAGTGGCTCCGTGGTACGTGTTACGTGCGTGTATCTTGCGTGTTACGTGCGTGTATCTGCGCGTTGTCCGGTTGGCGTGTATCGCCCGCGGTGTACGTGAGTTGGTATCCTCGTGTAAACCGGCGTATGTTACCGTGCGTGTAGTCTTCGGCTGTACGTGTACCGTGCTGTGTATCTGCGTCCATGTACGTAGCGTGTATCTCGCGTGTTTACGTGCCGCATGGCCTGCGTGGGGTGTACCCGCGGATGTACGTTGCGTGTCACCGCCTGTGTACGACTGCGCTCTCTGTGTACTTGCGTGTACCCGCGTGTACGTGCGCCTGTATCTCCGTGTACCTTGCGTGTACGTGCGTGTATCTGCTGTGTACGTGTACGTGCGTGTATCTTGCAGTGTATCATTGCGTTACGTGCGTGTACCCAGTGAACTTAATCTCCGTGAATATATAGTGACTAAACGTTTATGTATTCTTAGCATCGCTGGCAATAACCGTAAACACAGCTGCTTGCTTACTTGTCACAACGATTGTGCGGCCAGATAATTTCGTTGGCGTTCTCCCTGCAAATAAGTCACGTGTCATTGCCATTCTAGTGTATTGATATGATTTCTATGCTTAGAGCGCTGGTAAAACTAGAGGCCGATAAATGAGCGTGCAGCGGTTATGGGAGGGATCATTGAAATAATATATATAATTTTAATATATATATATATTTATATAATATATATAATAAATATTAATAATTATTATACATAATAATATATATGGTTATCTATATTATTTCTATGGGAGGGATGGTGAGGGAGAAAAAGGGAGAGGCTAGCAGAAAAACGTAGATGGGCCCGGGGAGTCTAGTGTATGACTGTGTTTGAGCGACGCCTGTGCGCCGGACAGGCGTTGAATCTTTTTTCCCTAGTTAAGTCAAGAACATAGGGCTCTTAGTGAGGCGCTGCCGATTGGTTTGACGCCTTGTTTCGTCGCTTTTCAGTATGAGCCAGCGTCACAGCGTGTCACTATCATTATGCACATCCAAAATCCGCAAAAAATCGGACATGTGGTCACTGCAAATTTGCGTCTAAATCGATAGTAGTTTTCTACTATTTAAAATAGTAAATTGCATGCTGGGCCTTGGCACTGGCGCTGATCAGCAAAATCCTATCATATATAACCTATACAACTGTCTTATTGACAGAAGCATTAATACGGCGGATCATTATCAACGCGGCACGTACCGGCGACGATGGCATTCTCGACTGTTCTTCATTCGGTGATCGCAACATTGCGTACAATTACACAAGGCGGGTACCGTAGCAGCGGCCGTTAGTGGCCGCACACGGCCAGCACGGCACTGCCGTTGCATACATTATTTGAAAAAAAAATTTGTGCAGGCGGATACACAAGGAGATTAAAACCTTTCGGGCGGGCGCCTCACCCCCACATTATGTAAGTATTGCTGCCACTGGCCGAAATGGGGGGGGCGGGGCCTCTGGAACTAACTCAGATCCTAAAAATGGGGTCTCTGGTAACTAATGTTTGTTTGAATTGTGTCTATGCTCTGGATACCACCGGCTATGTTCGAAAAATGGGGGTCTCCGGAACTAGCGATTTCGTTTGAAATCAATGCCTATTGAAAAATCTGGACACGTTTTAAAAGAGGTTGGTCTCCGGAACTTGTGGGGGAAACATGAATTGCTTTAAATCTTTCATGCTGCTAACCTTGAACAATAATTGTTGCTATTATGTAGAGGAGAGAAAAACATGAGCCGCTGCAGAGAGTATGAACGCACGCACACGCGCACACACACACACACACACACATCACACACACACACATCACACAACACAACACACAGCACACACCCCAACAACCCACACACACACACAACACACACACACACAACACACACAACACACATCACACACAACACACACACACACACACACAGAGAGATGATAGAGAGAGAGACCAGACAACACACGCACGCACGCCCGTAT